AAAAAGGAAAACATTTATACACCAAAGAAGGTTTGCATGCGACGTTGCTGGCTCTTAGCATACATCTGAGATTGTCGTATAATTTTATAGTGCGCATTTCTAATGATATATGGAAGATTTTATAATGCTATGTGTTATTAACATATTTTTGCTGTTTTGACAAATAAGTAATCACTTATTTGTTAAAGCAACAGCGTCAATAACACAGGCCATTATAAACTCATCCATATATCCTAGTTATTTGAAATTTTGAGAACAGGAAAAGATCTATACTTGAGAATATAATTTTATCTAAATTTTGTATTGTATGAACATATCAATAATATTTGTGGTCCAAATATTTTCATTCCTGGTGATGGTCTTCTGCAGCACCTGCATGGAAAAATTGTTAGAATCAGTGATGAAAACAAATTCTTTTCAAAAATAAATAATATATATCGATAATGATTGCAAGGTTACTAGAGTTACCAGATTTATCATAATCATAATACAAGAGTGTCTAATCACATTTCCATAACATTGATAAACAGAATGTAAAAGTTTTATGGAAAATATGATTATGTATAATCTAGGAATTTTTACAGCATCGTTAAAAGATTCAAACTTGTTGACTATATATTATCAGGGGATATCTGACTTTCGATTCACTTTTATCAGCTTCTTTTTAAGCTATACATATTTAAAAAAAGTACATATTGATATCTACGGAAATCGTCGTGAGTTTCTTATATCTACTACAGAATACTAATACCAAGGAGCTCTATAAATCACTCAATTTGACATAGACTTACATTAGACATGATAGTGAAACACAGCCACAGTCCTGAATCACTCAATTGTTCAGATATATGCCCGGGAAAGAAAACAGTACCAAGTAATAGATATTCTATAGGGTGATTTTTTAAGAGGTATAGTATTTGATTTTCAAAAAAAACAAAAAAATTGAAAAAACGATTAAATCTTTATTTGAGTGGATAGATCGGTCGATATAATTTAATGTTTAAAGATGATTTCATGTAAATGTTGGCCGCGGCTCCGTTTAGATGGCCCATGCGCAAGGTCCAATTTTGGCACACTCTCTCCAACATATCGGCCGGTATCTCACGAATAAATGCTTCAATATTGGCTTCCAGTGCGTCAAGCGTTGCTGGTTTATCCCTGTAGACATTAGCCTTAACATGGCCCCACAAGAAATAGTCCAACGGCGTTAAATCACACGATCTAGGCTGCCAATTGACGGGCCAAACGTGAGATAAACTGTTCACCAAACTCCACCAAAAAAGTTTGTTATCATCGCACGGTGGCGCTCGCCATTCAGAGTTACGTTCCGGCCATTGTCGTCTTTGAACAAGTACGGCCCGATAATGCCACCGACCCATAATCCACACCAAACAGTCATTTTTTCGGGATGCATTGGTAGCTCTTGCAATGCTTCTGGCTGGTCTTCACTCCAGATGCGGCAATTTTGCTTGTTAACGTACCCATTCAACCAGAAATGAGCTTCGTCGCTGAACACAATTTTTCGATAAAAATGTTGTGGGAGGTCGTGTGGCTTCAATTCTTGCACCAGCTGTATCTTATAAGGTTTTACGCCCAAATGCTGCCGCAAAATTTTCCACGTAGTGGAGTAACAGAGGCCCAATTGCTGCGAACGGCGGCGAATCGACATTTCACGGTCATCACTAACACTGGCGGATACAGCCGCAATATTTTCTTCAGTCCTCACTCTACGTCTGCGTGTTGGTGGTTTAATGTCCAATAATGTAAACTGGGTTCGAAATTTAGTCACAAGCTTCCGAATAGCTCCCTCAGTAGGCCGACCAAATTGCCCAGAAATTGGAAGCAGTGCTCGATGCACTCTCTTAACCGAGCATGAATTTTGATAGTAAAATTCAATAATTTGCAAGCGTTGTTCGTTCGTAAGTCGATTCATGGTTAAATTATAGACCAAACTGAACAAGTTTGACAATGACACAAGACACGATTCACGCGTCATCTGTCAAAAACAGTGTTGCCAAAAAGATACTAGCAAAAAAATCACCCATTATTTATCTCTGATCACCATGGGTTGGCAGTGGAATGAAGTGCCTTCAACCCTGCTTCTTGAATGATTCATAGCCCTCCACATATGCGACTATTGAAGCAAGTAGAAATTCTCAATAGCCGTAATGTTTTAACAAATATGTACATCCTTTTAATATAGAATCTCTGTATCAATAAATCCTTTTTCAATGGTCAAGGATATTCCATTTGTTCATTACAATCACCTAGAAGAAAATGAGTTGTTTTCTTATACACGGTGGCCGATATGTTACTGACTGGTGTGTATCTTGAATATTTGTGTAATGAAATAAAATTCGTCAATTTTTTTCATCTTAACCTTTTATTGAAACTTAGAAGCTATGTATGAAAAATAATATCAGACAAATGTCCGCCTCTAGAAGCCGCGCAAACCTGAGCCCTCCTGATTACATTTACATCACTTTTTGGTAGGTTTCGGGAGGAATATTTTCAATCGCTTCCAAAATATTGTTCTTCATAAAAAAGTTAGGAGCCGTTACATCCGGTGACCTTGGTGGCCAGTTGTCATCAGCAAATCGAGAAATTAAACGTCCCGGAAACATTGTTCGCAAAAGATTCATTGTTTCCCTAACTGTGTGACAAGTTGCTCCGTTCTGCTGGAACCACATATGTATCGCAGGTTAAATTGTTGGATTTTAGGAGCCAGAAAGTTTTGCACCATATCACGGTAGCGCTCACCAGTGACAGCAAAAGAATTACCTGCAGCGTCTTCAAAGAAAGTAAGGTCCAATGACACCGCACCAAACTGTGACTCGACCAGGATGTAGTGATCGTTGATGGATGACACGAGGGTTCTCTAATGCCCAGATACCACAATTCTGCTTATTAACACATTCGTTCATATCGAAGTGAGCTTCACCGCTCATTATCAGTTGTCGGTAAAAATCGTTATATTGGGTATTAAGCTGCAATATTGCATAACTGTATTGTCATAGTTCTTATGTTAACCGAATTTTGTATGGCCGCAAATGCAAGTACTTTTTTAAAATAGTGCATAATGACGAATACCCAGTTCTTGATAACCATGTCTGGTAGACGTCTCAAGGCGCCCCACTACACTTTCACGAACTCTTTCGATATTTTCCGGAGTATGAACAGTTCGAGCACGGCCCGACCTTGGAAAGTCTTTAACTTCACCTGTTTGTTCAAATTTCCAACTGACGAATGGTGTTGACACTGGGCACATTATTTCGACCGCAATCTTGTCGTAGCTTCCGAATCGTTGCAACAATCGACTCATGTTAAGTAAAACGTTTTAACAATAAGGACGCGTTGTGGGATCGTGTAGCGCTCCATGATGAATTGGACACATGTGCTTTAAACAACTACTACGGCGCCGCCTACTGAAATGCGTGTATCAAAAATGGCGCGCAGTTTAAGTCACTCAGTTATATATTGGCCACCCTGTACAAAGGGTACTATAAAAGTTTTGCAATACATATTTATTTATTGACTTCGTTCAAAGTGATTTACACCACCGAAGCCCTCAAAAGGTCCTCATTGCTATAAAACCGTTTTCGTTTTAGCTTCATGTTCACATGCGGAAACAGTGCAAAGCCGCAGGGAGTAAGATCTGGACTGTAAGGAGAGTGATCAATAAGTTTCAGTCCAATAGTGGTCAAATACTCGGTGCAGGCTTTGGCGCGGTGAGCTGGAGTGTTGTCATGGTGGAGGTACCATGTGTCCATTCTTGACTGTAGGTTTTTCATAGATTCTATGACTTTAGGCAGGCACTGTTCCATGCACCACTTAGCTGTGACTGTTTTCTGTGTGTCCAAAACGACAAGCTCCACAATCCCGCTCGATTTGAAAAATACAGCTATGATTTTTTCTTAACAGATTGGAATTTTCTGACAGCTACGGCGTGTCCTGATCAACAAAGACCCAAACTTTGTTTTGAGCCTTGGTCGGTACATCGTAATAATAGAGCCAAGTCTCGTCACCTGTCACGATGCTGTTCACTTACCGAGATTGCCTCTTATCAAACATTTTCAGCATCTTTCTGCACTAAGTCGTTCGACAGTCTTCGGCTCTTCCGTCAGACTATGCGGTATCTAGGGAATAAAGAATAGCGTTTCCTTGTGTGTAAATGGTTATGCAGAATTAAATGAATTGCTGGTGCATCAAGGTCTCCTCTGTCTGTTGGTATGTCACTCTCCGGTCTTCGTCAAGTATTTGCCTCACAGCAGTAAGGTTTTCCTCTGTTACTGACATTCGTGGCCTTCTTTCCCTCTCACAGCGTCCTACAGAGTGAAATTGCCCTTTTGGAATTCTCTGTACCACCTGAATATAGTCGTTCGATGAGGACAATCATTCTTTAATGCAAGCGTCATTTCTTCTAAGTACTGGTCTATGCTTAAACCACGCGTAAAGTTATACCGTAACACTGCCCTTATGTCACTACGTGACCATGATGCCATAGTCCGCACTTTATACTGTCACTACGAATTAACAACTAAATCAACAGACGTGCTGCTGGCGGCTACTTTGCACTCATGGCATGTGTCAACATGCAGTCCCCTGCGTCTGTTTGTTAAGTCATATTGCAAAACTTTTATAGTACCCTATGTACAATTTCACCAACATGTTAGGTGTTATACTACCCAACAAAAAGGTAGTTTAAATAAGAACGATTGTAATAAAATTTGTGGTTACGAAAAACCTACCTACCATCCGGCCATCCAGACGCAAATAAAAGAGAGGTTAACTAAAAATGACAGTAATAAACCATCATACTTGTCAGTCGCCATTTTTCTCGATGCCAGTGTTGCCGGGTTGCGGTCTGACAACATCGCACTGTTTCCCATTCTCCCACATGGGTTGACTCCCCAGGATCTTATATCCCATATATCTACATGTTTCTAATTCGATGTCAGGGCGCAATTAAAAGCAAATTCTAAATACTATATTTTTTTCAGGTTCAATGTGAAAAATCTAATGATCATGTGCTTGTGACTCATGGAGTGTATGCTTGGTTTCGACATCCTAGTTATGTGGGCTGGTTTTACTGGTCTGTAGGAACGCAAGTATGTAATATTTCATGAGTATAACCTTCTTAGTTCACGTATAAACCCTATTATAAAGAGGGCTTGCCGGTGGATAAAAACTTACATGTTCAAGAATTTCACCACGTGATTGTTTTCGTTTCAAAATAAAGGGTGTCCCAAAATTAACGCAAGATTTGAATTTGCCGCCATTTGTGCAGTGAAGTGTTGGCAACCCTGAAAAAAAGCAATTTGACAGCTAACAGTATAGGGTTATGAAAAATGGAGCGTTACACGATAGAACAACGTGTCTTCATTATTAAAGAATATTTCAAAAATAGTGAAAGCTTGGCGGCTGCAGTTCGAAAATTTCATACAAAATATGGCCGGAATAGTGTTTTAACTTCGTCAACTGTGAAGAGATTAATTGAAAAATTCATGGAGACTGGATCCGTTGGAGACGCCAAACACACTGGTCGTCCAAAAACAAGCCGTTCAAATGTGAATATCGAAGCAGTGCGTGAGAGTGTTGCGGACAATCCAGGAACCTCAATTCGACGTCGTGGACAAGAATTGCAAATGTCAAGAACCTCTCTACAGCGTATACTCACCAAAGATCTGTGTCTTCATGCTTACAAACTTCAATTAACACAACAATTGAAGCTTAATGACCATGCAGAGAGAAGAGAGTTTGTTGAATGGATTATTGAACATCAACAAATGGACCCTGATTTTTCAAGCAAAATCATCCTAAGCGATGAAGCACATTTTCATCTTGATGGCTTTGTCAATCGCCAAAATTGCCGCATTTGGGGTTCGGAGAACCCACGTGTGATTGTCGAAAAAGAAATGCACCCACAACGCGTGACTGTCTGGTGTGGATTTTGGGCTGGAGGCATAATTGGGCCATATTTTTTTGAAAATGATGCTGGTCAAGCAGTGACTGTTACTGGTGCTCGATATCGCGACATGATTACACAGTTCTTTCTGCCAAAATTGAATGATATTGATGTACCCAATATGTGGTTTCAACAAGACGGTGCCACATGTCATACAGCCCGTGAAACAATTCAATTACTGCATGAGACATTTCCCGGTCGTGTACTCTCTCGTTTCGGTGATCAAAATTGGCCTCCTAGATCGTGTGATTTAACACCATTAGACTTCTTTTTATGGGGTTATTTGAAATCACAAGTCTATGTCAACAAGCCCACAACCACCCGTGCATTAAAGGAGGAGATTCAACGCTGCATCAACGAAATTCAGCCACATTTATGCAGAAGGGTCATGGAAAATTTCGACAAAAGAGTGCGCATGTGCATGCAAAGCCGTGGAGGCCATTTGTCCGATGTGTTATTCCATACATAACCCTATCCTATGTACTTTATGAGTCAATAAAAATATAACTATTAAAAGACTAAAAATGGCATTTTCTATTTAATTCAAATCTTGCGTTAATTTTGGGACACCCTTTAGTATTGTATTGCTACTATCTATAAATTTAGATTCAATTGTCAAGAGAGACTTACAACTTTTAGCACCTAAAAATAAGCTAAGTAACTGCTCGTGGAAACAAAAATAATAGTGAGAATAGCTAAATGAGTTATTCATTTTGCACTAAAAAATATAACTGGCAATTTCACATGGTGACAACCGTTAGTGAGAACGCACCTTTAACTTGTGTAATTTTTGTTTGAATACTGTGTATTTTGAAACTTAAACCATTTTGTTGCAGATTGTTTTGCTGAATCCAATCTGCGTACCAGCTTACGCCATAGCTAGCTGGCATTTTTTCAAAACTAGAATTTATATAGAAGAAATAACCTTATTGAATTTCTTTGGCCAAAGCTACTGTGATTATCAGCAGAAAGTGTCAACAGGGTTACCATTTATCAAAGGTTACAAAATATAAAACACCTTGTTTTCACCACTCTTTTAAAATTTACTTATACTTGTGATATTAACTACTTATGTTTAAATTACTGGTCTAGCTTTAAATATAACATACAACAATCTAAAGGAGCATACTTTTTTGAAATTTAGCTACACCTAAAAGATTTTTTCGTCCGCACATCTCTTACGGGATTAAGCGATGTTATCGCCGTCGGCAGGCGTATTACGTATCTTGAAAAGTGACATGTCGTTTTTTTGACATTACAAGGGTGGTCTGAATAGTTTCCGACCTGAACATGGAGATGGCAGCACTCGTAAATAAAAGCTAGTGAATTTCATGTTAGACCAAAAACATATTCAAATGAACATTTCCAACGCTTTGTTGGCGAAGTTTAGGCGCCGATTAATTATTGTAGATGAAACTTGGATACACCATTACCCGCCCGAAACAAAAATACAGTCCAAACTGTACTGCACTGTAAAGGGGAACCGGCTCCAAAAAAGCAAAAACTGTTTTTTCGTCTGGGGAAGTGATGGCGACTGTTTTCTGGGATAGTCATGGAGTTATTTTAATCGATTATCTTCAAAAAGGAAAAACCATTACAGGAGCATACTACGCATAGCATCGCGTAGGAGGAGGCTATGTTGATAAATAAAATTAAAATTAGAAAAAATGTTTTGTAATTTTGTTAGGTCAGAAACTTTTCAGACCATCCTTGTATACAGGGTGTTTCAGTTTATTGTTGCATAACTTTAAGATTCGATAGAACTTTTAAAATTAATGCATAAAGCCTATATAAACATGGGTCGAAAAATGCGTGGCTTCCGAAATACAGGGTGTTTAAATTTACTTTTTAAAATAGTTTTTTTAAAATATTTCGAACAATATTTGATGTATAACAGTGAAAATTGGTATACAAGGGTTTTTTTGTACGACAAAACGAACCATGGGCATAGTTTTACTGCAGCCGCTAGAGGGCGCTCTCTACTGTAGGTACCTGTATTGTATTAAAATGACCGAAAATTTTTTCTTAGTGCAATTTTTTGCTTTTTGAATAAAAAAACTGATTCTTCGCACTTTTCAACATAAAAAAGCTCTCCTGTGAGTTTTCGTTATAGTTGCCGTTTTTGGGATATTTCGATTTTGAAGGTGCGATGCATTTTTAATTATTTATGGGAAAATAATATTTTTTTTTTACATTTTCGATTTGGGCATTACAAGTAATTAAGATGATCGTTTAGATTGTGTTTTTAAACACAGCAATAATTCCTAACTCCAAATAAACACAAAAAACAGAATATTAATTTGTTTAATTTTCCAATATTATTTTTAACAAATTAAATTAATTACTTACAACTAAAATGCTATTGGATAGTTAGGACAAACATACAAAATCTAAAGTAGTTGCTCGAAATGTAAACCCAACTGTTCAATACACAATTCACATCTACGAATGATCGAACGTGGTATAGCATTATTCAAATAAGGCCTTATTTCATCACATGCATTCCTGATTCTGTCTATTAGCATATCTCTTGTGGTTACGGGAGTCTGGTACACTTTTTCTTTGAGAAATCCCCACACAAAGAAATCTAATAGATTTAGGTCAGGGGATCGTAGAGGCCAGGTGACTGGTCCTCCACGGCCGATCCATCTTTCTGGATAATTTTCGTCCAGCCAGTTTCTAACTATTCTCGAATAATGAGCTAGACAACCATCAAGCTGGAACCAGGCCAATCTTCTTAAATCTAACATAACATCATCCCACATAAAAGGCAGGGTCCAAATAGTCGATTACGGTCGATACCAATCCACACGTTCACACTAAATTCATGCTGAAAATTTCTTTCCTGAACTGCATGCGGATTTTCATGCGACCAAATATGTTGATTATGAAAATTTACCACTCCACGTCTAGTGAAGCATGACTCATCGGTCCATAAAACGTTACTCAAAAACTCCCTATTATTATCAGTTCTATCAAGAATCCACTGACAAAATGTGATTCATCGTTCTCCGTCCCCTGGCTGGGGGACAGGGTGAACATGGTTTGCTGAAATTCCCAAGGCACCAGAAACTCTCCTAACACTTGTGGTCGGATCTCTATCAAACTCACGCAGAATCATACGGGTAAATCTGCGCTGACGAACATTTATGTTTTGATCCCTTTGGAGATTTCCAAAACCATTTTCAATTATTTGGCGATGCACTCTTACAAATACTGAGCGAGTTGGATGTGGTCTGTTTGGAAATCTTCGGGCGTATTCTCTGGCTGCTTCTGCTGCGTTTCCATTTACAAAGCCATACACAAAATGAATATCCGCTAACTCTTGATTGGAGAATAAAAATGGCATTTTTATAAAACTTACAAAAAAAAAACAGGTAAAAGAAACTAGATTTCGTGCATTCACAATTGCAAAAAAACGTTTCAGGTTTCAACAGACAACAAAACTAACTGTCAACTAATTGACGTTTAACCTTATTCTGCTTTCAATTTCAAAAATATATGCAGGCACAGCCTACTTCTAAAAATTATCGTGATACTGACTTTTTAACGTTATTTTATCATAAATAATTAAAAATGCATCGAACCTTAAAAATCGAAATATCTCAAAAACGGCTAACTATAACGAAAACTCACAAGAGAGCTTTTTTATGTTGAAAAAAGCGAAGAATCAGTTTTTTTATCCAAAAAGCAAAAAATTTCACTAAGAAAAAATTTTCGGTCATTTTAATACACTACAGGTACAGTAGAGAGCACCCTCTAGCGGCTACAGTAAAACTATGCCCATGGTTCGTTTTGTCGTTTTGTCGTACCAAAAAACCCTTGTGTTCCAATTTTCACTGTTATACATGAAATATTGTTCGAAATATTTAAAAAAAAACTATTTTAGAAAGTAAATTTAAATACCCTGTATTTCGGTAGCCACGCATTTTTCGACCCATGTTTATATATACTTTATGCATTAATTTGAAAAGTTCTATCGAATCTTAAAGTTATGCAACAATAAACTGAAACACCCTGTATAGTAGATTGTTTGTGACATTATGAAGGTTTTCCTATAAGATGTCAACTTGGAACTAGATGTTGTCCACTTGATGTGCACTGTATATGTTACCTGAACGTCATGATGCTTGAGCTAACATGGTTTGTCTCTTGTGTGATGTTACATCTGCTTCAGAGACGGCATTATTAGAGGTCTAAGCTATGTTATATACTATAGCTGGAGTGCATAAGTACTTAGTGAGTTTTTGTGTTTTATTAATCTGAGGTGGTGATAATTCCCCTGGTTTCTTGTCAAGACGACAACGACATGTATGAAGTTCACTTTACTTATATTCTTGAATCACCCGACCACGGCAAATCATGCGAAGTTAATTTCACCAGGTGCGTCTGCAGGGTCGCTGACGCAGAAGCGGGCTATGTGAAAATAAAGGCAAGTGTTGTCATATAAAACTTTAATATTGTATAAATATGTTAATTTCTCAAAAAACAAAACGCAAAACATTAATTTTCATAATATAGAATATAATATTGGCAAGACAATTTAATAAATAAAATTTGAACAGAAAACTTAACGCAGACAATTTTAAATTTTTAGTACGTATTACACTTGAGTTACATCTCCGTCTTGTTGGAGCATCCATTGAGCAGCTTTGGTAATATCCCACATGGAATTCTCTAAAGCATTGAAACAAGCTTGAAGATCGGCACTTACTACATTCTGTAGTTTTAAAATTTTTATTGCTTTCATCATATCCCAGTCTGATTGGTCCAGCGCTTGTAGGCACTTTTCGGTAGACACCTGTAAAAAGACAGCTTGTGTCATATGGAATTTTACGGTAACAAGAAATAAGAGAATATCTTGAATGTTTCACAACCAATCCAGAGACTTTTATATACAATTCAATGTTTCAATTTGAAACGTTTATTTTATATTCAGGGTGGCCCAACGAAAAGGTCACACCCCCATTTGTGACTCTCCTGGTATATTTTGAGAAAAACGCTCGGACACAGGTACATTTTGATTTCTAATAAATCTAAAAAATAAGATATTGCATTACACATTTTTTTTTAATTTTCAGATTTTCCATGAAGTTATACCTATAATAATAATAATAATAATAATAATAATAATAATAGCCTTTATTTAACCTGGCGGGTGTCAGCTAAAAGCTGTTTTTCATACCAACCAGGGCCAAACAAAATTATAATACAAAATCTGGGAGACATAAACATTGTTGAGTAACAATAATGAAAAATGTATTATGCCAAGAATAGGCATTTTTTAATTTAAAGAAAAAATCATATATATTCACAGTTAACAGTTACACCATTACATAAGTTAAAAACTAAATAATATAAGGTATTATGACATATTTTCAAAAACAAATTTTTTTACTTTTGACCTAAAAAGTGGAACAGATAAAACTTTAAAGCTGACAGGGAGCATATTATAGCGATTGGGTGCAACAAAAGAGAAACTCTTAGTAAATAGTGTGGTTCTATGATGGGGCGTGTTAAGGGTGTAACCAGCGAAACGGAGGTTGGCTGCATGATGCTGACTTCTCAAGGATAACTTATTATTTAAGTATATAGGGTATTTGGTCAATAAAATGCTATGAACCAAACTTAAAATGTGAACCAACCACCTCTGCCTCATCGTCAACCAATTCACTTCTTGAATAAATGGAGACACTCGCTCCCTTCTTCGGATTCCAACAGAATATCTAATACAGCTGTTCTGCACTTTCTGAAGTCTGTAAGCTTCGGCTTCAGTCAAACAAGGACCAAACACGGAACTTCCATATTCTAACTTATGGCCGATTTGCTACAGTTTATGTGTAACCCGTGGTATCTAAACCAATCACAAACGCCGCGTAAATCTACTGCTAGTTTTTCATTAGCATCAACACATGAGGAGGGATCATAGGATAGATAAAGCTGGGTATCATCAGCATAAGAATGTAAAGCGCAATGTTTGACCGACCGATCCAAGTCCGACACGTATAAAGTAAATAAGATTGGTCCTAAAATGGAACCTTGCGGCACCCCCTTTACAATGACCCGATTGTCAGAATAGTCACTGCCTATTTTAACTTGTTGAAGTCGATCTGATAGGTAATTGTCAAACCATGTAATCGAATTCTCAGAAAAACCAAGAAAGTGCAGCTTAGCCAAAAACATTTTGTGGTTTAAACAGTCAAATGCCTTTCTTAAATCTAGCAGAACAGTTGTAGTTACGCAGGAATTATCTATAGCTCTCAAGTAGTCATCACAAATGTCAACTAATGCAGTCACAGTACTATGATTTTTTCTAAATCCCGACTGTGTATTTGGAATTAAGCTGTATTTATTGATGTGTGTTAGCATTTGCTCGTAAACGATCTTTTCTAGAATTTTTGACAAGAGTGAAAGTATGCTTATAGGCCTGAAATTGCAAGGCAATTGGGGATTATCGGTTTTACCAACGAGAATAACAGTTGCGGCTTTCCATATGAGTGGTACGATACCATGTTCCAAAGAAAAGTTTATAATATGAGTAAGAGCCTTGAGGCAAAAATCAAGAATATAGGAAAATGTATCTATATTTAATCCATCTAGTCCGGTGGCACGCGAGTTTATTTTTTGAAAAGTCTTCAAGACTTTTTTCTCGGTAACAAACTTAAACTGAAATAGGTCATTGATATTTGGTAGCATGTTGGTGTTGTAGTACTCTAAGAGTGTTTCATTTATTGAGTTATCGGGAACTGAATCCACAAAACAGTTATTTAATATGTTGGGTTCCAAAGTACACTGATTATTTTTACCCTTAGAACCATGAATCCCTAGCTCCTTTATAGCTTTCCACCAGCTCCGAGAACTGTTGCTTTTTCTTAGCTGGTATTCAATATATGCTTTTTTTTCGTGCCTAATAGATGCTGTGACTAGATTCCTTAATTGCTTATAGTAGTTCCATTTGGCAGTTTTTATCTCGTCAGAAAAATTGTTCTTAACAGTTTTCTTATACTTAGAATAGGCGTTATTGCGTAACCGCATCATGAATTTAATATTGTGTGTAATCCAGGGACAACGTGCTTTTGATATCTTCCTGGTTTTAATTGGTGCGCATATATTTAGCAGATCATCAATAAGGCTGTAAAAATGTTGCAGTTTTGATTCAATGTCATCATAGACGATAACACCTAGCCAGTGCATATTAGACGCTACCTCATTCAAAAGAGACTCATCAATATTCCTTAAATCACGGGTCTGTACATATTTTGTATCTCTAACGGCTGGTTCACATTCCACACAAAAATAAACTAGATAGTGATCGGACACCGCAGGAAGATTCACAACTCCTTTATTAGCAATCTTAACTTCATCATTAACGAAAACGACATCTATTAAGGTACTACTGTTATTCGTGACCCTGGTTTCATGGTCAACTATTTGATGCAGATTCAAATCTTCAAAAATGTTAGAGACAAAGACACATTCAGGACTACTACAATCAAAGAAGTTAATATTCAAGTCGCCCATGCATACTACACCCTCTGATGTTGGAAATATAGATGTCAACATTTCCTCCAGCTCCGACAGAGTTCTAAAGCTGACACTGGGGGGTTTATAAACTACTCCAACCGTGTACTTTTTTTTGTTGACAGATATATTTACCCAAAGCTGTTCAAAAACCACTGTTCACCTCTGCATGCAAGTTCTCCAGCATTGAGCATCGTAAGCCAACTCTGACATATAAGGCAATACCCCCGCCTCGCCTATCAACCCTGTCATGCCTAAAAAGCTGGTATCCCGCAATTTGTACATTACTTTCAAAAACATCTGGTTTTAGCCAAGTTTCTGTGATCTTCAATCTTTGTGAAGCTATTTGAGTTTATAATAAAATTCGTTTAAATACTAAGAATAATGGCATGCACGGCAAAAAATAATAATCATGGATAGCACCAAGAACATTTAGCATCAGTCAGCGACAACAACTTCGTCACTGGTTTCAAATTGTTAAGTTACCTACCTGTGATAAATATTGAACAATGACTTATTCAATTCAAGAAAGGGTAGAAACAACAAAACTGTATTACTAAAATGGGAGCATTGCAAGAACTACTGCCCGGTTGTTTAATGCGTTACATTCAGACAAAAATATTAACGATAAGTATGTGGCTAAGTTGATAGATATTTGAAGAAACTGTATCTGTGTCTAATATTCGCCGTAATCGCCATCGAGAAAATCGCCCAGTTAGAAATGAAGCCGCAAAAATAGCAGTTTTGGGACACGTAGCACTTGACAACACCCAAAGCACTCGTGGAGTGGCTATTTCTTCAGGATTTGTACACGCTCAACGGCAGAAAGAATTTTGAAAGAAGGTTGGAGTTTTGCGAATTAATGTCCCAACGTTTAATCAACAATGCAAGTCTGTTATTTAATAATTGTTTCGCGGATATCGTTTTATTTACATGGTGCTGTAAATAGACATAATTGTCGACTCGAATCCTCATTTATTTAGAGAGGTGGTGGTGGAGACGACTATGTGGCTCCAATACGGACACCCATTTCTCGAATCAGTAGATCGGCAGACGACGCCGCATCGAGTGGCCGCCGAGATCTCCGGACCTTTAGATTATTTTCTTTGGCTGAATGTAGACAAATAACTCAAGTTATGCTTGAAAATGTGAGAAATGTATTCGAACAAAATCTTTATTATTGCATGGATGTAAATGGACACCACTTCAAGCACTTATTACCACATTGACCTACCTCTCTATAGCAAATTAATTTTTATTTTAACTTTAATGTGCGTGTAAACTGTAAGTTGTTTTCGTTTTTTTAATACTCGGAGACTTGTTTTTAATTTTAAAGTTATTATGGGAAACATATTGATTACAATTTTTACGATATAATCCCTTATTATCACAATTTCCAGAGTTGTATTATAAACTCAAATAGCTTCACGATTGAAGATAGGTATAAACTTCATTATACAAAAGTTACTAAAAACTTCATGGACTATCTAAAGTGTAACGCGATATCTTATTTTTGAATCACCTTTTATTGTGCAGCTATAGATCAAAAGACGTCCCCCTAGAAATCAAAACTGACGTGTCCGAGCGCTTTAGCCAAAATACAGGGTGCGGCAGAGAGAACGGACGTTTTTGGGATGGGTATTACTCCTCGGTCCACAGATTAATCCATATTGCGATTTTTTCTTATGGGGGCACCTCAAGGCTAGACTATACGCGAACAAGCTCCGAACTCTGGACGAATTGAAGGGCGAAATTCGCGTGGAAGTCGCCCAAGTTGAGAGAGCGATGCTGGAGAGAGTCTACGCGAACATCCAAGAACGCCTCCAGCACACTGCATCAACGATTTCGGCCACCACATGCCTGAAGTGATTTTCCACACTTGACTGTCTCAAATGATATTTCCTTGTGAACCTGATTCCATCAATAAATTTGTTTTCGAGTAAAGATTAACTATTTTATGATTTTTTTAGAACCGTCCATCCTCTCTGCCGCACCCTGTGTATCAGGACAGTCACAAATAGGGGTGCCACCTTTTCGTTGGGCCACCCTGTATAAACAATGAAAAACAAAAATATATTGCTTCTGTATTCATTCAAAAGATGTACTTCTAACATTTGTTTTTATACACCGATGCGGCCACGTAGACAGAAACCTGAATACCGAGGCACGCCGGGACACTTCAATCCAATTTTTAACTAGCCTAAGGTTAGTAGACCGCCTCAGGCCAAGTATTCCACAATCTTGGCACGCTAAGAACAGAGGTGGTTGTACCGGCCAGTTTTGGATGTATGAAGTTCGGCAGAACTAGGGTAGGAGGCCAAAGTCTGGTGGGTCTGTCTGATAGGCTCAACGCGCAGCAGGATCATGACAGAATTCTGATTTTTGAAAATCTTGATTCAAGGATCTTGCAACATTATCTTCAATATCCAACGAAAAACTTCATCCATCAATTGCTACTGCGTGGAAATCAATCTGATTGCCATGATGTTGAATAGGAAATTGCTAAGATTATTCAACTTATTATTTTATGCAAATCTGATAAAAACCCATACCAGGAAAATGAACTACAAAAAAATGGTAAAAAATCTGTAGCTTTACTTGGATAGTAGTGATTCCTATTAGGTTATTTATTTTTGAAATAAACGATTTGTTTGTTTTGAAGTTTATTATAAACAAAAATGAATATTAGTCTAATCATATTAGAAAATTTCCCCGAAATAATTGTAAAGTCTGGTTTTATTGATGGAAGTTGTTCAAGGGGTATTTAAAACATGGAAGCATAAAATGGGAACACCAATTTTTCTGGGAAAACTTTTTTCGACAACAAAGAATGAGAAAACGCGTTTTTGGGGATTTACTCGAAAGTGTTGGCAGAAACGAAAAGTCTTCTAATAAGATTTTTAGGTATCTATGAGACTCGCAGAATGAAACCACACCTAAAAAGATCCCACTAATAGCAAAAATGTTATTGCCGAAAAACGAGGCAAAATGCAGGTTTTGGCACTTGTTGCTAATGCAATGATAATTTCACGCAGCTACTTGAAATTTTCCAAATCCGAAGGCTTCTTACTAAATAACCACAATAAAATTGGAGTCGATTGGTCAAGTAGTTTTTGAGAATTTCTAATTGTTTATCCCAAAACATCTGTCTTTCGGCCATCACTACCAGTCTATTGACCAATATAAGGGTTCGTTCAACGGGCATTTTATAGCAAAATACACGAGTTTACCTTACCGACACGAATCAGAAGCCATTCCGAAAGACAATTATTGTTATTTTTATGCGAAAAACGAAGGGTTATGTTTTTTTGTTGCGAACATTAAATGCATATCAAATCTGTTATAAACAATTACAATACTCCTGAAAAACATACAAGATACAATGCTGAAACTTTAAATAAAGTATTAGGGACTAATACCGAGCACTTTGCCTAATCTTTCAGACGGGCACTACGAGCTACAATTGGTTGATATTAGTCTACTGTTTTTTCGTGTTCTCGAGTATAATTTTCCAACATTTTGAACTCGTTTCAATATATACATACTAACTAGTCTAAGACAGTTTTAAACATAATTGTGTCTTCAGTTTGCGTGCTAACTTTATAAACAGTGCAGCGCATTTCAGTATGAAATATTTCCTTTTATAAATTTAAGGCTCACCTGTGACCGTGTAAGAATTTCAGCACTAAATATGTATACATAAGAGTATGAAGAAATCTTGAAAAGAATGTTTTTCTTCGCAACAAAATGTAATGGACACATCCGCTTTGATTTAAAATGTATATAATAACGTTTTTAGAATATCTCATATCGTAGCGAATCTGTTCAGTTACAAATACGAAATATTTGTTTTAAAGAAAAAACGTAACCCTTCGTTTTTCGCATAAAAATAGCAATTATCTCGGAATGGCCTGTTATTCATGTCGGCAAGGTAAAGTCGTGTATTTTGCTATAAAATGCCCTTTGAACTAACCTTGTATATTGCTAAATAAACTGGTAGTGATGGCCGGAAGACAGATGTTTTGGGATAAACAATTAGAAATTCTCAAAAACTATTTGACCAATCGACTCCAATTTTGTTGTGGTTATTTAGAAGTACGACGCCTACGGATTTGAAGAATTTCAAGTAGCTGCGTGAAATTATAGTCGCATTAGCAACAAGTGGCGAAATCTGCATTTTGCTTCGGGTTTCGGCCATAATTTTTTTTACTATTAGTGGGATCTTTTTACGTGTGGTCTCATTCTGTAGGTCTCTTAAATACCTAAAAATCTTTTTCGTTCCTGCTGTTCCTTTCGATTGAATCCCAAAAAATACGTTTTCTCAATCTTTGTTGTCGAATAAAACGTTTTCCCACAAAAATTGGTGTATCCATTTTTTGCGTCCATGTATCAAATAGCCCCTTGAAAAACTTGCATCAATAAAACCAGACTTTACAATTATTTCACAAACCAGGGAAATTTTCATCTGTGATTAAACCATAGGCTGGTGGCCGTGCATACACAAGATTTATGAATGGTAAGCTGCTACGCTACTGATGAGGATACGACGCGCATATTATTCAATTAATGTTCTAATGAGATGCATAGCTTTCTTCACATGCCATATATAGTTGTTTCCAATATCACGGAGTTTCTCAGAATATGGGAGGCTTAACCTTTTCATAAGAATATTTTAGGATTTTACCTCAAATATTCAAACCTAAATATCTACAAAACGAGTGAGTTGGCAAAAGTTCTTTAAGAGGCAAAATTTATGGAAAATTGAATGGTATTTTATAAAATGCACTCTTTTGCTCCGAAAAGGCCAGTGCCATAGAAAGTATTTCGTATTAGGGGTCCAGGTATATCAGTTTCTACGTTCCCGGTTTAGTTTGGGCTGGGAAACTCTGTGTGTTCATTGCTAATGTTGTGCTCACTGGACGTGTAAAATCCTACCTCAGAAATTTTACCAGCTCCGTAGATATAATTTTTTTCTATTTCGTAAATAAACCCATATTTATAGAAACTTTTCTTGTTACTTTTTTTGCACTTTATACCCCTGAAAATATTGGCACGTCTTTCTGAAACAACCTGTATAAACCTTAATAAAATCACACTTGGTTGGTATAATATAAACTAAAGTAACGGATACTTACATCTTTTCCCAACACTTTTGACATAATCCTCACTTCGTCGGAATCATTTCCTCTTGTTCTTGATGGCGGTTTCGAATTGGCGAATTTCAAAAGATCCTCACAACTGACGTGGTGGCTATGAATCTTCTCATCTTCGTTCTTGAAATTGCTGAACGCTTCCCCGTCTACGACGTCCTTTAGACAAAAAGTAAAATTCTTGAAATATTGGCACATGTTGAATAATAACTGAAAAATACCATTTTACTAATCTATATATATATATATATATATAAAGAGAAAATGATCCTGCGGAAGAAGGTATATAACAAAAAGTGGGAAAATAATGGACAAAATCCGCAAAAAGGAGGAAAGTGGATTCGAACAGAAAATAGGACAGGTAGCCCGAGCGATACGTATTTCTGCTGGTTGGCTTCATCAGGCCCGAAATGAATGCACGTATGAAACTACAAAAGTAGATACACATGTCCACATATCCGGATACGGGTGTAACCTGAGGGAACGAAGATGGAGGGGAAAAAAACGACACACGAAGTCCACAACAAGAGCCAATCTACACATTGTAGTATAAAATGGCTAGAAGACCTCGAATTTTCAAGGAGACATCTAACCACAACCACGCGGCCGGTTATAGCCACTTGCTGTGGTACTTCAAGCCCAAAGGATCTACAAAGAGAAAATGATCACGCGGAGAAAGCTTTATAACAAAAAGTAAGAAAATAATGGGCAAAATCCGCAAAAAGTATTAAAGTGGATTCGAGCAGAAAATAGGATAGGTAACTCGAGCGATACGTATTTCTGCTAGTTGGTATATATAAAAATGAATCCCTATTTCGCGTGGTCACGCCGTAACTTGAGAACGACTTCACCGATTTCATCTTTTTTAAAAGTTTCCTGATGCTGTATAGAAGGTTCTTACCGAAAGAAAAATCAAGAAAACTGCGCAGACTAACTGGGAAATCATTTCAAACCTAATGATTATTTAAGCTACGCGCGTTTGACATTTGCTTTAGCATGGAGCACGCACAGCAGAAAAAATATCTCAATTACCAAAAGAGACAGACACTCCTCTCCGCCATCTTTATTCCAACAGCCATTGACAGTTTGCTAAGTGAGAGAAAATTACTTATGAAAATACGGTGCTTTCGTTTTTGGACTTACATTTCTTTACCATCCGTACTTTGTGATGGCCCCTTCAAAAGAAACTGCAGTGTCGCCTAATTGTTATCTTTGTCAGTTAACTATATGAATAAAAATTGCGGATGAAAATTTCTTTTGCTTAATTGACTTTCACTATCATTTTAAACTTGACAGCTACACCGAAAATTTATGTTATCGTTTAACAGTGTTTATCGATGAAAAAATATTGTTTTATAAAATTAGTAGTGCACAGTCCATTCGATTAGAGTTTTTATCCAGCTTTCAGTTTGTTCAGTGAGTTTCTTGAGAAGTATTTGTTCAAGAATAATTAACAAGGGTGGAAGTTAGTTCACCGCAATGACGCCTTATATTAAAATTATGATTCTTCAAAATGCCACCAATTAGACGTACCAACCTAGGTCGCAGAACTCGCAATGCTGCAAGTCAAAGATATATACGGAGAAGTCAAACCGACGAGCAACGAGAAGCAAGAACTGAAGTTGAACGGGATCGGAGGACTGAAATTCAACAACGTATAAGCGTCGCATTTAATTCCAATCGAGCTGCTTTCAAATATGACGTGGCAATCGATTACAGTTCACAACAAATCGTCCACATTGCAAGGCTTACAAGTTTAAAAATTAAGCTCCTGGATTATGTTGCGACAGTGGAAAAATCAAATTGACTCCATTAGTACCACCACCAGAGCCACTACATTAATTGGTTTCCAGAAATGGGCCAGATTCTATAAATTTTTTGACTCATATCCAGCAATACAATAATTGCTTTCAAATGACGTCATTTTTCACAAAATTCATTCGACATAATTTTATGCCTACTTTTAAGGTTAAGGCAAGTTGATGGGGGAATGGCAGTGCTGCCAACGTATTTTGCTAGCCACATGGCGATACAAACACTTCGCTATACAATTACCTACATTCCATATATTTACCCTTTCATTATTCATCCCAGTTCATAGTTAAGACAGGACAACGTCTGTCGGGTCAGCTATAATAGTATCTATACAGGGTTATCCAAATTAAGTGTCCACCATTAGTAACTTTGTTATTAGTGAAAATACAAAGTTGTTTGAATTAGCAAACTAGTAGCATTTTTAACGCTGGTAAAAATGAGAAATAAAAAAAAACAATTGAGAGTCGTTATTTTGATTTTTTTCAGTAAAATAACATTTTTTTAAATGGAAACCCCTGTATATTATATTTTTTTCTGTTAAAGCATCAAATTTTAAACAAAAAAGTTCATAATGACTTTTCCGCTAAAGTCAAAAATAAAGTCAAAATAACGATAAATATTTTTAATTATTTGCAGTATTATAATATTAAGACGGCTATGAAAACAACATGGCGTTCGCGATTTGACAGCATTAAGATAAGCGACAAATTGTTAAACTGGACATACTCGCAACTAGAAGGCTTTGGAAAACAATGATAAAATCAAATAATGTCAAACATTAGTGTAAATACTTGTTTATAAGCTTTATTGTGTCATTAATTTAATGAAAAATGTTCTCCCATGAAGAAAAGTGTGATATGTTAGAATGCTATTTAGTGTGCAGAAAATCCTCCTTGAGAGCAAGAGAATACTACAGTGAATTATATCCCGCTCGCATTCAACCGTATGAACGATATTTTCTGAGACTTTATCGAAAATTTAGGGGCAACGAAAATGTTTTTGCTAAAACAAGGGCAAAAAAAGAATTCATAATAAGCGAGGCCACGGAAATTGCAGTTATTGGATATTTTGAAGCTTATCGTGAGAATTCAATAGCAGATATTCTCAAGGACTCTAATTTCAGTTATGGTACTGTTCAAAGGATTTTAAAAAAATACAAATTTATTCCGTATAAGTACCGACCAGTTCAAACGCTTTTGGCAGGGGATCCAGAGAGAAGACTTGTTTTTTGCCATTGGTATCTTAGCTTCTGTCGCCAAAATGTAAATAACTTTCGTTACCTTTTATGGACAGATGAATCAAATTTTTCAAATTCTGGAATGTTTAATAGAAAAAACCACCATTATTGGTCAAGAGAAAATCTTTTGTTAGTACATCCAAGAGGCCCACAAGTCCGTTTCAGTTTCAACGTTTGGTGCGGTATAATTGGTTCAAAAATTGTTGGCCCATTCTTTTATGAGGGAACCCTAACTGGTGAAAGATATGTGGAATTTATGTCAGAAATTCTGACTAATTTCTTAGACGAATTGGATCTTATAAGTAGACATCATCTGCATTTTCAGCAAGATGGCGCACCTGCCCACAACTCCAGAGGTACTTATCATTTTCTAAGTACTACTTTTAATGATCAGTGGATAGGAACAAATGGCCCAATACAGTGGCCTCCCAGATCACCAGATCTAAACCCACTTGATTACTTCTTGTGGGGTTACTTAAAAAACCAAATTTACAAGCGAAGGTACGATAACCTTGACGCGTTAAAGACTGCAGTTAGGGAAAAGATAACCCAGATAGATGGTAGGACCATACTTAAGACAGTTCGAGCAGTTGAAAAACGTGCCCAAAAATGTATTGAAGAACAAGGTGGTGTTTTCGAGCATCTTCTTTAAAAAAAATTGTTATTGTATTTTGTAAGATTATAAGTTGATGTTGAAAATAAAGTTTGTCGATACAATTTAATTGTTTCAGATTGGAGGCCATAACTTCAACAATTTGTAACCTAGGAGAAAAGTTATTGTAAGCTTTTTTGTTTAAAATTTGATGCTTTAACAGAAAAAAATATAATATACAGGGGTTTCCATTTAAAAAAATGTTATTTTACTGAAAAAAATCAAAATAACGACTCTCAATTGTTTTTTTTTATTTCTCATTTTTACCAGCGTTAAAAATGCTACTAGTTTGCTAATTCAAACAACTTTGTATTTTCACTAATAACAAAGTTACTAATGGTGGACACTTAATTTGGATAACCCTGTATACATATTTATATAATATAAATTTAATGCAGCAATTTTGTATTGTCGCCGGTAATGAGGAAAACGTAATAGATGGGTTAATATTTCAATCGGTTATTTTCAAAAACAGGTTCATTTTTTCCATCATGCCTCTTTTTCTAAAAAAACGCTTCATAAAAGGTAGACGCGTATTCTAGGTTATTACGTAAAAAACCTATATAATGTTAAAAAAAGAAACAATAAAAATGTCAACTTGTTGACTGAGGGCCGTAGCGTCAGTCGTTCCTACAAATGTAAGACGTCTTTATGGCCTACTTGATTTTCATAGTTTTCTACTCTTCCGTGTCCTGGCTCTATTTTGAGGTTATGTTACAAATATCTATTTGCATCAAATTGTTCATACTTTTGATTTATATCATCTGTTATATATAGCCTGAAATTTCCTACAATTCAACAAAAAAACAGGGAACTGTAGAAATCTGGAAATATCTCAGCCTTTCTGAAGGTGAGGAAAGACTATGGAAATCAAGGAGGCTATAAAAACGTCCTACAATTGTAGGAACGACTGACGATACGGCCCTGTCCGTGAACTCTCTCTCGCTGGGGGAATCTTGGTTTGGGCGTAAAACGGGAAATTGGATCTTCCCACTTGTTTGCTTTACCTGGGTTTCCCTGATATTGCTGCCGTCTCTATTTACCTATGATATAGCAACATACAGGGTGGCCGATATGTAACTGACTGGTGGTATCTTGAATATTTGTGAAATATTAAAATGAAATAAAATACGTCCATTTTTTTTTCATCTTAATCTTTTATTGGAACTGAAATTATGTATAAAAAATAATATCGTACAAATGTCCGCCACTAGAAGCCGCGCAAACCTAAGCCCTCTTGATTGCATTTTTCATCACTTTTTGGTAGGTTTCGGCAGAAATATTTTGAATCGCTTCCGTAATATTGTTCTTCAGCTGCTCTACAGTTTTTGGTTTGTTGGATTTTTCAGAAATCCCCATAAAAAGAGTCAGGAGCCGTTAAATCCGGTGACCTTGGTGGCAAGTTGACATCACCAAATCGAGAAATTGGAAGTATTGTTCGCAAAAGATTAATTGTTTTCCTAGCTGTGTGACAAGTTGCTCCGTTCTGCTGGAACCACATGTATCGCAGGTTAAATTGTTGGATTTGAGGAGCCAGAAAGTTTTGCACCATATCCCGGTAGCGCTCGCCAGTGACAGCAAGAGAATTACCTGCATCATCGTCAAAGAAGTAAGGTCCAATGACACCGCACCAAACTGTGACTCGACCAGGATGTAGTGGTCGTTGATGACACTAGGGTTCTCTAATGCCCAGATACGACAATTAGGAAGTTTCCTATAGTCGAAAATACTACCTGGGTTACCCGCATCAGATAGTATAACTAGTATCTGTGATAAATCTGAAAGAATTATTATAACAACTTTAAATTTAAGGAAGTTATGGCATTTTCTGTGTTGGCTGCTGTAGCCGATCGGCCTCGCGCGTCGAGGTTCGGTAGTGACGTCACATGACGGAACGTCGCGTGTCGGTAGTGAAGCGGTTGGACGATACGACGGCATATCGCATACATCCTTAGCGCTCAAGCTGACAAGAAGTTTTTTACGAGCCGACTCCACAAATCTTTTGAAGGTGGTCACAATAATGGTAATGAATTTCTTCACAAACAATCCACTTTATGTCAGTACGGAAATACGTAAGTAAGTAAATAGTATAATTTATTCTATACAAACAACTCTGATAACGTGAACCCATTTTTTTAACCCACTGCCTGCGACTATACCATACTGTGGACTTATAAAACTTTACGTAGGACGCGAGGTGTCAGTGGCGGGGTATTATGGATGGTCTTATTTGGCTTTATTAATTTTATAAATAGAAGAAAATTAAAACATGCTTTGCATGCATCAAATAATTTAGGATGACCCAAACTCCAGCGGATACGTTTGATAAATATTAAGTTCAATATCGCGCAGTGACCACAAAATGAACTGTTTGCACTGAAATTTAATTCAACGCTAATAGGACTTGATGACCTTCCGGTGTTGACTCACAGCAATTTAATAATTCTTTCGTAACAATTCACGATGTCCACTTGTTAACTAGCAGTAGAATCAATGATTCGTCATTCATTTTTGGGTGTTGCCATTATAGGTCTGGAAGAGACGCCTATGGAGACGAGGCGATTGGTTATGTTAAAAAGACAACGGGGTCTGTGTATTGTAAACGCCCGAACGTAGAGATAAAAGCAATCCGAATCATTGCAGTTTTGAATGCGACGAAAAGGAGGAAACAGTGATCAAGCTAGAATGCAGTGGTTGTGGTGCACAAGAGGGTGGCTGTAAGCATGGTGTAGCGCTATTAATGTGGCTGCACAGAAGAAGCGAAGAACCACCATGCACTTCCGTGAGGTGCTACTGGACAAATGCCAGATTATCTACTATTGGCAGTAATCTATAATTCGTAGGAGCCTCTCAGATGATGACACATTAAGACCACACTTGGCCGACGCCTATGCATCGCCGCGTCGGCACAAACAAGGTTTGAATAGTGTTCCCCCTATAGCCACAAGATGATCACTATACAAATACTCACATTATCTCGAAATGAAAGCAATAATCAAATCTATTTCTGTTCTCCTTTAAACCATTTAGATACTTTACCTTATCATGCGAGGCATACAGACTAAGGGTGGATTTCGCAATTTAACAAATCATTATTCTGCACCAATAGGGTACGAGTACCAAACAGTCCGTTAAATATACCCAATCAGCCTCAAGATCTCTCCGTCAAATTTTTGGCAGCAAATAGCATCAAAGTATTCAAAACAAAACACTGTAAAATATGAAGTGACAGCTTGAAATTGAAATCCTTTCAGTTTATTAAATATTATGAAACTATGTAAAACTGAGCCAAAATTTTTAAAAATGCTTGATGTCTCAGTAAAATTTATTTTTTCAGATTAGCTGAAGGTTTTTCCATGTTTACTGCAACTTTTGTAATCCATATGTGATTATATCACCTACTGTGTGCTTATAGTTTATTCTATATTTGCAAACTTGCACCTCCAAACCCTTGCATGAAAAGCCTTTTCACTCAAATTTTTGTTAGGTGTTGCATTTCAACACATTCATACACTTCTTTCCAGTTCCTCAACGATATGTTCACCCCACTGGTCCGAAACTGTTCAACAGTTTCAACATTCATACATACAATTGCAGTTGCAGTTTTTTGTTTTAATTTCAGTGTATAATCAGTCGCACCATCGGTGATGGTACATTCAACATAACCACGTATTTAGGGGTTCGTGCAGATTTAACGTGTACACGACGTCATCATTAGGCGCTCCTCTGGCGATGTCCGACTGCGTTCAGGTGCCTTCTGCAGGTACCTCTTCACCATGGTCAGGAGTTGATACCAGCGCGGCTCTCGTTTTTATTGCTCTAGGCATGGCCATCCTCAATTAATCCCACAAAAAACAAGTCCAAGGCAGAAAAACACACCCGAAGACGAACACCAAAACAAATCTCTACCGCAAATTCGTCAACAACTCAAACAAAAACAACAGATGATTCACCGCCTGGCTTTGACCGTAAATCGTCGTGGAACACGAGACACCACAGAATTATTATAATTACGTCAATACGAGTATAGAACAGTATAGAAAGGGCTATCCAAGGGTGAGACGAGTTCCGAAACCACCCGAATCATGTCAAAAATGGCTGTGACGTCACCAAAACGTTGACCACCACTGGAAATCACTAGCTAGTTACCATCTGGCGGCCTAACACGTGGAGGCCACTCGTGCATGAGCCCGACATTATTTTTCAGTAATTACTAATGATTTTAGGTCTATGTCTACAGTATTTGCATTATGCACCTCGGAGATGTAGGGATTAACATGTTTTACACATATCGGTGTTTTAGGATGGGGACGACATATTGTTTTGATTGCTTTGAAGATATTCATTAACCCATGAATTTATAACAAATGATTACTATTATGATGTAAAGAGAGATGAGGAATTGTTTGGAATACATTTTATATTTTATTTTCTTGCAAATCCGCACAATTCAACTGGTATGTGTAGCTCTGATGATCTCATAATATACACACAGTATATTGAACTTAACAAATTTCGAGATTGCCATGAATTAACAAACGACCAAACCTGCTGCCAAATTTAACAGCTAGAAAATCGACCTATTATTTCTCCCATTCCCATTCGCTGAGGGGATAACGGATGGTCAAATGTACACCTATAACATAAATCAAAATACATGAAAGTTGTCCTGTTTTCTCTGTACAAAAGCATCATGTTCGAATCAAAAAGTGGTCTTGTTTATAATACAGTCGAATTTTCACGATTTTATTCAATATTTTAATAGAAATCACTGATATTCTGAGACCTTTGACAGCTTCCGTCAAATTGCATTTCGATAAGGTATTTTCCTATTGGTCCATAATAATAATGTTGGTGAAATCGGCCCTAAGACTAATAATAATTATTATTGCTACCATTTATATCATAGGTATTAGTTAAATAGCTGCTTACATCAAAATGGGATTCACAGCAAAATAACGTTGATTTTTCCGACAGCGGCAATTTATCGCCCCTATTCATTACCTTGCACCACTTCTTTCTAATACTGCTGATATGCTAGTATTTGTACACCTAGGTACCATAAAGTATTTGTAGGTTGAAGGTTTGACCCACCTTTTACTCATTGTTAATAATAGGGGGAAGCGTGTGTGGCGCGGCGGGCGCATCTTCTTGCTGGGCTGATAAGCTTCCGTCATGTGACGTCATCACTCACTCGCACGGCACACAACACGATTCTCCAAATAAACTTCTGATTAGCGTAACTTTGTTATTTTTCAAGATATTAAAAAAAAAATAGCGCTGTTCTTCATTTTACTTTGACTACCATTTTGAGTGCCTTGTGAAAAATTGGAAACTTCCTCATTCTGCTTATTAACAAATCCGTTCATATCGAAGTGGGCTTCATCGCTCATTATCAGTTGTCGGTAAAAATCGTTATTTTGGGTATTAAGCTGCAATATTGCATAACTGTATTGTCATAGTTCTTATGTTAACCGAATTTTGTATGGCCGCAAATGCAAGCACTTTTTTAAAATAGTGCATAATGACGTGTGACGAATACCCAGTTCTTGATAACCATGTCTGGTAGACGTCTCAGGGCGCCCCACTACACTTTCACGAACTCTCTCGATATTTTCCGGAGTACGAACCGTTAGAACACGGCCCGACCTTGGCAACTCTTTAACTTCACCTGTTTGTTCAAATTTCCGCACCAACTGCAAACAATAATTATTTAAGTAAAACGTTTTAACAATACACACGCGTTGTGGGATCGTGTAGCGCTCCTTGAGGAATTGGACAAATGTGCTACTACGGCGCCACCCTATCAAAAATGGCACGCAATTTATATCAGTCAGTTATATATTGGCCACCCTGTATATTTTTGCTGTTGATGATTTTAATTTATTGATAGGACGAATCCAACACATGCTATTATGTCAAATGGATACTAAATGTTTATTATTATTTGCTAAAGGTTTCCCACGGAATGACAGCAAACATTTTTAGACAGATCATCGGGAAAGTGACTGCGTCGTTCGATGGAAAGAAAGCCTCTGGTCCCGACATGATCTTTCGAATGTAAACACATAAAGCTTGCCCCAAGACTAATGAATAAAAGTAATATCGAGTTTTTTTTGTAGAAACACATTGTTCCCTACCTGTTCGACCAAGATCTCATCGAGAGCATTCAAATTCGACTCGATCTGCTCTTCGAAATGCTGCGATTCGTGGTCCTTCTCCGCGACTTGTGCCAGATGATTCGTGTACACTGGCTCCGTCTTTTCGAAGACCTCCTCGCTGCTGTTAGGCGGAGAAGACGCCATGTTGACCTTGTCCAAGGTCCTTTGAAGGCTGGAGTGGGGGATGATCAGCGGATATTTGCGTGTGTGACGTGGTTTGGCGGTCAACAGTGCTTTGCTCTTGTCACGCGGAGGTAATGGGATCGGATTCTCGTCCTTGTGATCAGACGGTGTGGTGGAAGACTGCTGAGAGATGGATGTTGGTCTGGGTAGAGTTGCGTGTAGAAATTCTGGAATAAGATCATTAGTTCAGGAGACAAAAACATGTGAATAAATTAGTAATATGGCGTTGGTTCGTCCGACCAGAGACGGCTAACCATGGCAGCTGTTTCGGAAATAAAATGCTGTTATTTTACATGTATGTACAGGGTAGCCAACTAAGAATGCGAATGGAAACCTATCCATGGTAGAGGCTTGCGGCAAAAACATTTATTACTAAAACGGCCAAGAGAAAAACCTGGAAAATACTTTCGAGCTTCTGAGATGTCCGCTAGGGGGCGTAACTGCAATCTGTAAAAAAGTGATATTTCTAACAAAAAAAAACCTGATCTTTGAATTCGAGGATAATCTGAACCTTTTTTGTTTGACAATTTTTGCTGTATCTCTAAACATAAAGTGGTGGGGCGGTATTCAAGGGTATCAGTAAAAAACACCCTTTTAACAAACTTGGGCTAGTTGAAAAGCACTACTCTTGGGCTACAAATTAATGTTATAAAATTTGAAGTTTTGTTAGTTCGTCACGTGCCAAAATCACGTAACCTTTTTTTTACAATTTTGATCCCTTACCAGTAATTTGAATGTCTCTTTATTAATAGCAGAGTACTGATTCCTAGACCAAACCTTTTTTCAATGTTTTTCTTTTGGCAAATTCCATAGTTTATTGATTGTATAATTTCATACGTATTACGTCATTCTTTCTCAACGATTCAGTATTGTGTTAAAATCTTTTGATCACTAATGTTATAGTATTATTGACTATCTCAGAAATTTCCTCATAAAATATCGTTGGACCCTCGTAAACAGACCAGCGCGCCACCTTGTGATACCATCTGTTAAAATTTGCGTTACTATCAAGATACATTCTTTACCGGCTTTTCATTCTTTTTGATTTTCTGTCGAACGTGCCTTCTTCATGGCCACTTATTTAACCTTCTCTTAGGGGGTAAGGTATTCTGCGTCATTTACTTTCCTGCGGAGATTGTGGTGTGGGTGTCATTTCATTAATTTCCAGATTATGGGATAAGACTCCCAAACACCAATTTATGGAGTAGCACCCTTTTATTTTGTACCATACGTTTAGTTGTGTTGGTTTGGGTACTACCCGTCCATTTTCTAATGGGATTTTAACCTCCAGCGGTAAGTTCTCTTTTGTATACCATCGGACCACGTCCATTAATGCATGTCCTGAAGACGTTTGTTCAATATCTGCTTATTTAGTGGAAAGCCATTGCGGATAACCACCATTCACACTCCTCCAGCTTTGTTCTGTTGCTGCCTTGTAGCTGTTTCGCAGCCGATTTTGTTGGAAGGCATCCCTTCCCCTAGATAAAAAAACCCTGATGTGAACAGGTAAAATATTTTAATTGAGTGTTTTGTGGATATTGATATTAAATGTTGCTGACTGAAATTCTTAGTGTGTTCTCGATTGATGTTCTTCAAATTCACCGCTGTTGAAATACTGCATTAACATGCTCTAGAACAATAGCAGAATGTGCTGGGCAACCATCCAACTGTCAAAACAAGTTTTGCCATGTTTCCAGTGGCACATCTTCCAACAACAACGGTAATCGATTTTCTAAAAATTCAAGAAAGACATTGACCTTTAGGGGTTGCTCGAAAAAATATTCTGCCTCCCAATATGCCACACCACACATTTAAACTCCAAACGCCTTTGGTGCTGAACTTCACGCAACCAATGCGGATTTTCTGCAGACCAATAATGCATATTGTGCAGATTGACTCTCCCGTCACTATTAAAGGTGGCTTCATCGGTCCAAAGAATTTGAAATAAAAATTCTCTTTTTTTCGCGTATCATGCCCAACATAGCGGCAATAGTCCAACCTCCGATCAAAGTTTTCTTCTTTCAAGGCCTGATGCAAAACGACATTATATGGTTGGGGGAGAAGGTCGTGCAAGATATCAAACAGTTGATTTTATTGACATATATATACTTATATATATATATATATATACAGGGTGACTTGTAATGTCACGTATTCCTGTTAAGATGTGATAGATTAGGTCAAAAGTAACCGATTTTGTCCTATAATCTATCCAGAAGTTAACCGTTTTTGAGTTATTTGAATTTGATTTTTTTTATTTTTTATTCCGATTTCAGACGGATAAATTTGAAATACAAAAAAACTACATGTTTGATTTTGAGTTTTTTGTCATGGTCGCATAGCGGACATTCCAATAGTTCATAATAAGTAATAAAATGTTGAAAACTTACAAAAGTTTTAAAATTACGCTTTTGAAATGTATGATTTTCTTATTTTTTTACTAACTTATTCGATAAAAAATGCAATTTTCTGTAAAAAATCTCCTAGTAATGAATCGTGCAAATTATGTAAATAATATCTCTATCTAACAAGCTTTCATTTGAGGTATAAAAGTTACAACTAACTCAAGTACACAGACAAAATTAAAAAAAGAAGAGTAAAGTTGTTCGAACGATAATTACGTAGGATAAATAAAAGGCTTTTATTTCAATTACAGTTTTATTTAATTACATTTCCTTTAGTATTTTACAGATTCTGCTCAAATTGTAATCCCCTGTTACGAATACACGCCCGCATTCTCTTACGTAATTCACTTTTGGTAACTCCAGTTGTTAAGCGGCTTTTTATTTGGTCAGCTGCACTGATTATCCTTGTAATTAATTCATCGCGCGTTGGTACGGGCGAAACATCGTACACCAGGCTTTTCATATGTCCCCACACATAGTAATCCATCTGTGTGAGATCAGGGCTTCTTGCTGGCCAGGCAATGGGCCCGCCTCTGCCAATCCATTGATTTGGAAATTTAGAGTCTAAATACGCCCGTACTAATCTACTGTAGTGTGCGGGACAGCCGTCGTGCTGGAACCGCATATTTTGTCTCGTCACCAATGGGACGTCTTCCAATGGAAACAAGTGATTTTTCAAGAACTCTTCATACACTTCTCCATTTAAATTGTCGGGCAGGAAATGAGGTCCAATTAAATATCCATCAATGATGCCCATCCACACATTGACTGAAAACCGGCTTTGAGACCCCGTCGGTCTTATTTTTCGGGGGTTCAAAGCTTCTTTATCAGCCCAGTATTGAGCATTATGGTAGTTAGTGATCCCGTCCTTATCAAACTTCGATTCATCGGTCCACAGAATTTTCTTAAAATAGTCTGGATCTTCTGTATCTGCATGTAACATGTACCTGCAGAAATCTAATCGTCTTGCAGGATCGCCCTCTTCAATCACATGCACAGGCGTAAAGTGATAAGGGTATAATCTTGCAGTATGCACAGTAAACCATACTTTGTATTGTGATATACCCAACTGAGCAGCCACAATGTGCGTAGACGTAGTATGGTCTTCTTGAAACACACGAAGGATTTCCTCTTCATCTTCAGGAGGATAGACTCGGGGTCGACCAGCATCACTATGTTGCCTTTGAACACGTCCGGTTTGGCGGATGCGCCGATACACAGTAACATGAGGTGTTCGGCGATTCGGGAAACGTTGCCGATATTCACGCCAGGCAGCTGCAGAATCGCCGTAACAAAGTCCATAACAGAACATTATGTCTGCGTATTCTTCGTTTGTAAAAGTTTGCCCGTGCTCGCTGTGGCGAGGTCCTGGCGTATCTTCTGCGTCTGCCATGAAGATAAAGAAACCACTCGAAATGAACTGGGAAACTCGAAAATAATAATCGTGCGTAAAACGTGTGCGCGTATGCAGTAGTTGATACCAACTAAACCTAATTCTCACTCGGCGTGGCGTAACTACAATGATAATAAATAAAATAACAGCTCTCTCTCTCTCACTCCCCCACTAAGTCAGCTTTTCTCGCTCGCTTCCTCGTCGAGCCGATGCCATAAAACAATCATGGCATGCGAGTCCTTTGAGGACAGTAACGACTTGTTCAAACAGGTAATACAAATTCCTTAAAAATCCAGCCTCTGTGGGTGTCATTGTTGTTTCTCTGCAAATGTACTTCAGATAATTGAGCGCTTAATACCTCAAATGAAAGCTTGTTAGATAGAGATATTATTTACATAATTTGCACATTTCATTACTAGGAGATTTTTTACAGAAAATTGCATTTTTTATCGAATAAGTTAGTAAAAAAAAAGAAAATGATACATTTAAAAAGCGTATTTTTAAAACGTTTGTAGCTTTTCAACATTTTATTACTTATTATGTTTGCTATGCGACGATAACAAAAAACTCAAAATCAAGCATGCAGTTTTTTTGTATTTCAATTTTAACCTTCTGAAATCGGAATAAAAAATAAAAAACTTAAAATTCAAATAACTCAAAAATGGTTAACTTTTGGATAAGACATGATAGGACAAAATCGGTTGCTTTTGACCTAATCTATCACCCCTTAACAGGAATACGTGACATTACAAGTCACCCTATATATACAGGGTGACTTTGAAGTTGATTCTTTAATTTTCAGATAATGATTGTAGAAGATAAACCAAAATATGTGTGTAAAAATAAAAAAAAAATTAAAAAAAAAAATTTACCTTGTTTTATAAAGTATCCTCCCGACAAGTATTTCAGTGCGGACCTGTATTTGATCGTGAGGTCTTGGAGCACCGGCATGCCGTCACCTGATTCACGAGCCCGTTGTACTGCATTAACAAAGGCACGAGGGGTTGGTTGCACTCGATTGGGAAACCGATCCGCATAAACATGTGCCATTTTTTATTTCGTTTGAGCCACGCAACAGACACCACTATTCACTCACGCGTTACCGACTGACACTGACTATATACAAATGAATAAAATAATTGTAAAAACATCGTTCCAAATTCTTTCGCTTTTTTGTTTCTGATGCGATGAACCGATAAGGCGGATTGTATCCGTTGTCGCCAAACACGAGCACATAATATTATTATTGAGACAGGGCGGTACTCAAACTTCCAAAGGGTTATAACTTTGTTACTTTAATTTTACCAGAAAAATGGTAAAGGAAAAAAACATTTCTTTTGATCAGATCTACTCACTGTTAAAATAAATGACTCAACTTCGAAGTCACAATGTATATTGCACAAACAACGATCGGTCTTTTTATTTCAGATTCAAAGAAAGCAGACAAGTTTATCAAGGGACTTAAAGCAAACAATTTGCGCAACATGCACCATCTAACCACTCCCGGTGTAACTTGAAACTGTCAAAACTTCGTCAGGAAGGGGAAATCTGTTCCCGCTCCATTCACTACGGGATCTCGCTAAAAAATCTATATAGTGAATATGCATTTAAACAAAAATTTAATTTGCTTGAGAAAATTAACCCTTTCTGTCGGAATGTTGAAAAAAGCGGCCACATGTCGAACCAACAAAACTTCAAATAATGTAGCCCAAGAATGGCTCTTTTCAACTAGCCGAAGTTTATTAAAATTGGCTCAGCCATTTAGAAGATACAGAATGTTTTTTATGGACACCGCTGAATATCCACCACCACTTTATTTTCAGAGATACGGTAAAAACTGTCAAAAAAAGTTCACATTATAATCGACTTTAAAGATCAGGTTTTTTTTTTGTTAGGTTAATATAGCGGAATTTATAGAAAGATCACTTTTTAGACTCAATATTGCAGTTACGCCCCCTAGCAGCCATTCCAGAAACTTGAAAATATTTCCCAGGTTTTTCTCCTGGCCGTTTTCGTAATAACTTTTTTGCCGCAAGCCTCTACTGTGGATAGGTTCCCAGATACAGTACCTCGCATTCTTGGTTGGCCACCCTGTACATAAATGTACGAGAAGAGAAATTTGACATACAGCATATTTGTTGTAGATTAAAACCGCGTGCGGGCAAGCTTTCTGCGGGTATTTGATAATTTGTATTGATTCATAGTGGTTGTATTTCAGAAAATTATCATTATTACCATAGTTATTATCGTTATGATTATTATTATAATTATTATTTCATGATATGGAACACTTTTGCCGGAAATTGAAGCAGTTGCAAACTTATTTAATATACGTCAAAAGCTGACGGGAAGCCTCCAAAAGTAATAAAACATCGCATTTGTATTGCTAACTCTTCCCACTCGTTTGCGAGAATTATCATCTAGGTTAGATCATAGGATATCAATCAGACTATGAGAATTTAGCTTTAGCATTTTTTTTGTTTATTTCCACATTCCGTGAACCGCTTCCCAGAACAGAAAATGCCATTCATTGTTTTTCGACCTAATTTCATAAACACCTACCTTGACGGTTGTGAAGATTTTCGGGAACCGAATTCCTAACAGAATTCTTCACTTTCGGAGGTAGCGTACTTGCTACGCTAGCAGATCTAGTTCTTGAATTTATGACTGGCAGACCAGAACGTAGTATCCTTAGTGGGTTAGTTACCATAAGCTATAAATTAAAATTAATCCGAGTTTACATACCTTCAAATAAAAATAATTTTAATTTATACATTCATAATAATCCAAAAAACAATAATCTTTACATACTGGGAGGCCCAACGATATTAGTCGCACCCTGATTTGTGACTCTCCTGGTATATTTTTCGAATAACGCTTTGACAAGTCAATTTTGATTTCTCTTCATCTATAGCTGTACAATACAGGGTGATTCAAAAATAAGATATTGCGTTACACTTTTGGTTTTTAAATGGAAATCCCCATTTTTTTTTTAATTTTTAGAATCTCCATGAAGTTTTTAGTTACTTTTGTATAATAAAGTTTATACATGTCTTCAATCGTTGCAAAACTATTTGAGTTTATTATAAAATTCTAGAAATTGTGATAATAATCAATTATATCGTGGAAAGAATAACACTGATAAACACAGGATTTGTGAAATGACAATTTTTGGGTGTATCTTATGTACTTTGAGACCCTTAAATCAAAAACAGAATTGTTCTATCACCCACAGATAACGGTAACATCTACTTTTATGAATTACAATACGTAACATCTCATATTGGAGCATTTCTCGTCGTTTATGCGATGACGCACATATATAATGTTAAGACCTATCTATTCCTGTTCATTATATGCGAGCTCTATGTTTAGAGACCATATTGCGTTTATTAGTAGACTAATAGCAGCCGAGTCAGTTACGTTTTCTGTGGTGAAGAGTACTGATATGTTTTGAGTAATGCTAATTTTTGTTAAAACGGTGTGTTGTTTTTAGTTTATTGTGATCGAGACTAGCTTTAGGGACAATGTCTAGAAATTGTGTAAATAGTGCGAACACTTTTTTTATGTGTGCGGAGAGCTAACTTTTAAGTCCCAAAAATGTACTTTTACTCCGCTTGTGTTGAGGCATACGAACTTTATTTTGGAATTAAAGTTGGCAACCAAGATAAACTATGGGCTCCTCATATATGTTGTAAGATTGTGTAATGTTGTTAACAGGATGGTCAAGAGTCGACAATCGTAAAATGCCCTTTGCGGTACCAATGAATTGGAGAGAACCGAGAGTCCATACTACTGATTGCTATTCTTGCCTCACAAATATTAAAGGTATTCGACCAAAATTTAAACATACTGTTAAGTATTTTAATTTACCATCACCTTTGCGGCCTGTTAGGCATAGTGATGAACTTTCTGTCCCAGTTCCACCAGAATCTTGGTTTTGGATGAAAAAGTCGAATCCACCGGTTCTGAAAGCGATGGTACTGAAAGCGTAAAAATTTACGATCCTTCGTTTGACCTACCAAGTTGTCCAACAGCGCCGCATTTGATCACACAGGGCAAACTTATTGATCTAGTTCGAGAATTAAGTCTGTGAAAACCCCAGTCAGAATTTTTAGCGTCAAGATTAAAAGGATGGAATCTTCTCCACGGTGATGTTAACATTACTTTCTACCGAAAACGGCAATAAGACCTCAAACACTGTTTCCGTCAAGAAAGGGAGTTGATACATTGCTCCGATGTCAACAATTTGTTTGACGAGTTAGGACAGAAACATGATCCAAATGATTGGCGCCTGTCCATTGATTCCTCTAAGCTTAGTTTAAAAGCGGTATTGGTACACAACGGAAATAAATATCCATCAGTACCTATAGCGCACGCAGTCCATATGAAGGAATCATATGAAAATATGCTAGTTCTGTTAGAGCATATCCGTTATAATGAATATGGATGGGTCATACGTGCAGATTTAAAAGTAATAGGCCTTCTTCTTGGAATGCAACTGGGATATACCAAATATTGTTGTATTCTTTGAGAATGGGACAGTCGTGCGCGAGATCGTCATTATGAACAGGACTGGCCACTACCTCAGGAATTAACTCCGGGCCTCAAAAACATTGCTCATGAACCACTAGTTGATCCAAAAAAATGTGTTGCTGCCACCTTTGCATATCAAGTTGGGTCTGCTGAGAAATTTTACCATTGGATAACATCACCTTTATTTTTATTACGGCTGAAATTCTTTGGGGCATAGTGTTAACCAAGTTTTAGCAAAAATTTGGTGTAAAACAATCCCATATTTCTTGAAGCTTTTGTCTCAGTTCGGTGATTGTACGAGCAGGATGTTGTCGTAGAACCTTTTTCATCTCGTGCCACAAAGTTTCAATAGGTGACAGATCTGGACTGCTAGAAACCCATTTGAAAAGTGGTACATTATTTTCTTCCATCCATTTTATAGCCTTTTTTGAGGTATGCACCATCTTGCTGAAACACAAAATCTTGGCCGGATGTCAAACATTCTTCCATCACTGGTAAAAGCGATTCTGCTAAAATTGTCAAATATTTGTTTGTATCCACATTTCCAACAATAAAATGAAGTTTTCCTACTCCTTTTGATGACATACTGCCCCAGACCGTAATGGGTGCTGGAAATTTCACTTTTCTCTTCAGACAGTCAACATGGAATGCTTCATTTTTTTGCGAATAACTCTACTGCGACTGTCACCAACACAAACGTCGAATCGAGCCTCATCACTCCATTGTATTGCACACCATTGTTGAGGTGTCCATTGTCTATGTTCTTTAGCCCATCTAAGCCGATTTTTCTTTTGCAGTGGAGTTAATAGTGGCTTTTCTTTGGCCTATAAACAAGTTGTGCAACTTTGGGGTTTTTACTTCACTTTTTTTTATAAAAAAACTTACATTGCAAGGTCTAAATCCCAGTTTGTGGGCCTCTCTATGAGTTGTGGACCTCGAAATTCTGCTTCCAACAGCGTCACTCCACAGAGCATTTAATTGTAAATAATTGGCACGCCTGTTTTTGCCGATTATTCTTCTTAATGCTCTTCGGTCGGCATTTGTGATATTTATTTTTTTCTCATATCGTAGCTTAATATTAACTTAACCAGTTACGTTATATCTTCTAACAATATTTCTCGCACTGTACAGCGATACGTCTAACAAAGTTGCAATTTTTGAGTTTGATTTCCCAGATTTAAAAAATTTAATTATCAGTAACCGAATTTTCTCACTAATTACCTTTCCTCTACCCATTTAGAAAACCTTAACTACCCAAAACTATTTTAAACGTATTCTGACAGCTGTGATTGATAAAAACAATTGTCATGGCTTTTATTTTTCATAGCCACCTATGCGTTATAGAGTTATTTTGCATTGAAATAAAAATAGGTTGATATGCTGTAACTGCAACATGTGTTATTTTTATGCTGCAAATTTGATTAGGGAGTGATAAAGTTGGTGTTTTCTACTATATATTATCAAAATATTCATTGTTAATATTTTAAACCTATAACACGCTGCTACATTTTTATTATTTGTGTTTGATAAGAAAAAAAACTAAGATTTCAATAGTTGGGCTAACTGAAGTGGGAAGGGGCTCGTAGTTCCCGTAGTAACAACACTTCACTTAAAAATTAAAAACAAGTCTCAGAGTATTAAAAAAACAAAAAAAAACTTACAGTTTACACGCAAATTAAAATTAAAATAAAAATTAATTTGCTATAAAGAGATAGGACAATGTGATAATAAGTGTTGAAAGTGGTGTCGATTACCTCCAAGCAATAATAAACATTTTGTTCAAATCTATTCCCCACATTTTTAAGCATATCTTGAATGGAATCTGGCTTCGTACTGAACACTTTACTTTTCAAATTCCCCCAAAGAAAGTAATATACAGTACTCAGGCACGGAGATCTCGGCGGCCACTCGATGGGGCCTCGTCTGCCGATCCACTGATTCGGGAAATGGGTGTCCAAAAACTCGTCGTACTGGAGCCACATAGTGCGGCAGTGCACTATCTTGTTGGAAATGAATGTTATTTTCATTATAATTAATGTCATTTTCTTTTATTTCGGTAAACCGTGGCTCTATTGTATTTTCTAACATGTCCAAGCACATCTCGCCCGTCAAGTTTTAAGGAATAAAGAAAGCTCCTACAATATGTTTGACGAAAATGCCGGACCACACATTTATTTTTTCAGCTTGTTGCGAGTGTACCTCTCGAAACAAATGTGGAATCGAGTCAGTCCAATATCGAGAATAATTGTCGACATAATTATTATGTCTATTTAGCACCATGTAAATAGAAGGTACACTCATCCGAGAAATAAATATTAAATAAAAGTGCCACGTGTCCCAAAGCTGCTATTTCTGAGGGTTCATTTCTAACTGGTCGATGGTGATTACCGCGAACATTAGACACAGATCCAGTTTCTTCGAATTTTCTTTTCAACTTTAATATTTTTGTCTGGATATAACGCATTAAACAACCAGGCAGTAGCTCTTGCAATGCTCCCATTTTGATAATACAGTTTTGTTATTTCTATCCTTTCTTGAATTGAGTAAGACGTTGTTCAATATTTATCATAAGTTTTTCTATGACACACGATGACACTGAGTGATGCTGAATGTTCTTTCTGGTATCCATAATTATTATTTTTTGCCGTGCATTCCATTATTAAGTTAAGTTAGTCGAATTTTATTATAAACTCAAATAGCTTCACAACGACTGACGATAGGTATAAACTTTATTACACAAAAGTTGCTAAGAACTTCATGGAGAATCTAAGAACTACAAAAATGATGGTTTCTATTTGAAAATCTAAAGTGTACCGTAATATCTTACTTTTAGATCACCCTGCATTGTACGTCTCCCTAGAAATCAAAATTTTTTCCCAAAAAATACCAGATGAGTCACAAATGGGGGTGCGAACTTTTCGTTGGGCCACCCTGTACATAGCTATACAGACATATTTAATTAATAATCGTCGAAGATATTTGATTAGCCTCAAGGTGGTTACACACGCAAATTCATATTTTGCAAGAACGCACACAAGTTTTATATACAATTAATACATGAGGCTGTCGATGGAAAAAATTGTACAAGTCACTACTTGTATAAGTTATAGTTTGAAAAACTCGCTTTAAAAGCTATGCGTTAATTTAAATCAAATTTTAATCAATCCGATTCATGTGATTATCATATTCGAGTGAAATAAGGAAATAAAGATTTTTTTCTATCGTGCAGAAAGTAGCACTTTTTACTACTTTCTGTACGCAGAGTACTTTCCGCACGCTGGTAGAAAAAATGTCATACCTAAGTATCGCTTTCCGCACTTGTTAGGTAAATAACTATATTACTCAAGCCAAGACCACAATAATTCCAAGATGTGATTCATAACTCACCTGTGTGACGTCAGCACTAGGACTCTCCACAAGACCTTGATAAGCCAGGTGTGCCTCTTCCGTTACCTTTGACTAAGGAAAATAAAATAAAGAAACAAAAAGAAAACGGAGAGCAAACGAAAACAACAAAAACTAGGAAAAACAACAAGGTTGGAATGTGTATGCTAGAGTCTACAGGAGGGTTGGCGACAGCTCGTACACTCGTATAAATATAAAGTACACGTATCATGTTGCCGCAAGAAATGGTCTCAAAAATCCAACATCCACAGTGAAGAATGGTGAACATGTTCCTCATGAAGAAGGCATACGTTCTTAATGCTAATATGGACACCTTTAATAATTCCATTCTACTGCGCCACGATTACTGATTACTATTCTAACATCAGCCAATGAAGTATGATATGATGTTTGGATTAGATTTTTAAACTGAAAATGAGAGTTGTTTTAACTTCGAACAAAAGTATTAATATTGCAAGATTATTTGCTCGTTTGTAATCTGAGTAGGTATGAAGGTGTCTTGCGACTCACTGACCTGCCGCACTCTTGACTTAAGGGGGTTAAATGTATAGGGTGTCCCATTTTCGACGATATTACTGAGTATCTCACTTACTAGTAAAGATAAAGAGTTACGGCTTTCACAATAAAGTGCTAGTTTTTGTGAAAGGAAAGATGGTATAAACACAATTTTCACAGCCCACTTGGTTTCTGAGATACAGGGCGAAATTGAAAATATTTGCATTTTTCACCCCCTCGTATCTCCGTTATTCTAAGCTATCTCTTGTACAATTTTTCACGGAGAATCCAGTGGCGCAGTCAAATTTTTTCTACGAGATGTCATTTTTAGCTATAAATCAAACTTATGTTTTTTTAATGAGACTTTTCGTTTGAAATTTGAGAATTTTATAAGCTTTACAAAAATAGAGACACATGATATGTTTTTCAAATAATAAATCAAAAATTCATAATTTCAAAAAATTTGTCCCTATACGACACACTTGGTATGTATTGTATGAATATTAATGAGCGTGATTAGTAGAACAATGGAATCCAAGCCGTTGTCAAAACATGTCAGTTGCAAAATTTATATTTTCTGTGTAATATTATATTTTTTATAGTAGAGGATCCGAACTAAAATCGTCCTCCAGAGGTGTGTCAACCAGATAGAAATGACATTCTATCAAATGAAATAAGTTTTTGAACATACTTTGATTAGGCAACCCTTTAAAAAATGGTTATATTTTTCAAAATTTCGCCGGCGTGCCAACCAAACAAAACAAACCAATGCCCGAATTGTTCAAACTTTTTTGGACAATAATTTTCTGCAGAAATGGATTGGTACGAATAGCCCAATTAGATGGCCTCTACGGTCGCCCGATCTATCGGTTCTAGATTTTTTCTGTGGGGCTATTAAAAGAATAAGATTTACCAATGCGGTATTTCAAAACTTGCAAGGGCATTCCATAATTGTTTTAAATTAAATTTGAGTAGTTCCTTTAATGTAAAAGTCTATTAAGGGGTTAATATTTAGGTTAATTTTATGTTAATATTAACATGAAATATTACAAGTTTTGTTTAGTTCCATTATCCGTTAGTGTATAAAATTGTTCAAAGCTTACTTAGATTTAGCTTTTTTAATATGTATGTGTCTGTAATATGCTATAACAAATAATATGTATACCTATAACAGAGTCAACGCTTACTATTACTATATTAATACACACTATGATAACGCGTAGGTATATGGACATTTTATGAAATTATGTATTTTCGGTTTATTATTTAAAATACATATCATGTGTTGCATATTTCTGTCCAGCTTATACAATTTTCAATCAAGCGAGATTCATAGATAAAAATTGACAGCTCATAGCAAAAATTTGACTAAGCTATTATTCTACTACTATTCTACGCATAAAACTGTGTGAGGGCCAGATTTTAGCTGTGCGATATGTTGAAGGATAACGGGGATATGGAGGGGTGTAAAAAAGCAATATTTTCAATTTTGCCATGTATCACAAAAATGAAGGGGCTATGAAATTTTTTCCACAAAAAAGTAGCACAGTATTGCGAAAACAGGAACTCGATCTTTACTTGTGATACCAGATACCCGGTAATATCATCGAATACTGGACACCCTGCACATTTCAAGCAAATGGAAATGCATTGACAACCCTTAAATCAACGCCACTTTATTGACAAAGGTGTTCCTGTAATGCCGCTGTTTGAATTTTATCCATAATGAGCATTGAAGCATTCATGTGCTCTTGTGACACGTTATTTGAACAAAACAGAACATAGAGCATTTTTTTGATGATACTGGGCGATTACGATAATGATGCGGCTCAAAATCACGGCTATTTTATTATTTCCGATCGCTTCATATTAAGCTAAAAAGTTCGACATTCAATACGTTCAAAACTGAACGTAAAGTCATAGCAAAGCTTTAAAAATGTTCATCAAAATATTTTCCACGAGAAATGTTCAGTCTTCTTCAGCTTTTCGTTACAGTTATTATATCACCCTCATTTACAATACAAAATTCTCGTCGTATAAAAAATCGCGCAATTTCAAAAAGGACGAAATGATTAAATATATATTGGTGTTGGTATCAATCACATGATTTATTCAGTCAGTTTACTTATCCCAATAGAAGCAACAGATTGACGAGTTCTTTTAATAAGACACGTAGATAGGTTAAAACTGGAAAATGATGTTGTAGGCCTGACCTATTGGCCTTCACACGGCGATAAAGATGTTTCATCAAAATGATATCTACTGCTTCTACTGGAGGTCTTACTAGTGCAATTCGTTATCATTGAAGCATAAGAATTATGCATTGTCTAAAATTGTTTCTAATAGATCCACAATCAGTGATAACGAATACTAACATCAAACCTTTACATTTCATTTACAATTCACGAACAAAATTCATTCAATGACCTTAATATCACTCAGGTATGATATACGTATTTACAAAACTCGCCATGAAAAGAGGATGTCCTATAATTTCAACACAACTACGAGAATAGCTAAAAACAATTCACTGGTACAGAAAGCTACTGAAGTAAATCACCGTTACAGATAGACCAACATGGTCTGAAGATTTTACTTATAGTACCGAAAGCAATTAGCCAATTGGTACCAAGAAAATAGGAAGCCATTAGTAAATGATTAAAAATACAGAATTTATGGAAGTACGATGGTATTCCACCAAAAAAATATATTGTTACTTGTAATAAGACATGTTTAGCTAAAATACATATTTGTGGTCTAGTTATCGTGGTTCTTAAAGTTTAATGAATTTTGAATAATCATACCAAACTGGAATTCAACCAATGTGGTATTTTACCACACAAGGAAAGTTTATATTTTAAAGCTACAACAGCAACAATGAGTGGATTTCACTAACACTAATATTTGACAGTCACTTGAACCAATGAGAAAATACCTTATCGAAATGCAATTTCACGGAAGCTGTCAAAACTCTCTGAATATCAGTGACTTCTATTGACATATTGAATAAAATCTTGAAAAAGTGATTGTATTATAAACAAGCGCACTTTTTGACTCCAACATGATGAGACTATAAGAAAAAATAAAGTTGATGCTGGCCGACAAGAAACGAAACGACATATTGAAATTCTAACTATACCATTGTGTAGAGGAGAAAACGTAGCAATGTTAATGTGCAATTTATTTTAAAATCCCTCTATAAATAAAATTAGGAAAAAATTAAAACTATTTTAGGAAAATCTAGTTTTTTTCCGCCACTCAGCGGCGTTTTGTTGATTACATAAACCCGCAACTTTTTCCCCATTTAAGCAACTTCGTATCTCTTACAGTTTCAAAAATCCTGATGGTGAGGGTCGAATTGGAAACACCCTGTATATATGTTCGGACATTATCTAATTTTAACTAAAAGTTTGTTTATTTCTATAGATTAAAAATCGTTTTTTTTTCTTTTATAAGACAATGAAATATATTGTTTGCACAACATATTAAAAAAACTGTTCTCAAGAAATATGATATTGAAGTATAAAATCAAACTGACATTGATAACAAAGCAACATAAATAAATAATGTTCGGACACTATATTAAAAAGAAAATGAAAGCAGGCCATGGAAACAAAAAAGTGTTTACAATTTGACGTTTTGATTTAAGAATCAATTCTGTGAATCCTTTTGCTTTAAAATGTCGCGTGTCGAGTTTTAATCATAAAATTGTTTCATTAAGGAAAGAGTTTTCGAGATATTGCTAAACAAATAAATGTCGTAACTCAAGTCTCAAGACATACCTACGTAAAATCAGTCTTGAAATGCAAAGTTCTCCTGTTCGTATTTGTAAAGCTGGTCGTCAAGGTAATGTAAGGGACATAACAGCAAAATGGAATGAAGAAACAGCAGGATATCTTCCACGAGGCACGTGCCGTCGGTGGATTCATAAGTCTGGTTTACATTTTTATAAGGTACGTTGCATTTAAGGGTCATATATGGCATATTTATTAAATCCTTGCTTTAGCCAAAAGAAAAGCCCTTGCTTACGAAAAACAAAAGAAAAGGTGATTAGCGTGGGCTAAGAAAAGGGCAATGTGGACTTACGAAGACTGGAAAAAGATCATTTTCAGCGATGAATCAAAATTTGATGTTTGTGTGACCACCGATCCCGGGTTATAAGAAACAAAAATTAATCGTTTAAAATTAATGGTATGGGAAGCATATCTGCTCTTGACGTTGGAAAACTTCACTTAGACGGAACTGTAAACGTAGCTAAATATCAAAATATCCTTGAAACCAATTTGCTAGTGACAATTCCAATTTTATTACCTGATAGAAACTTTATTTTTCAACAAGATGTGGCGTCATGTCATACGGTCAAAACAACGAAACAAATGGTTGCAGGATAATTCCGTCCTTGCCTGGCCTTCCAATAGTCCTGATTTAAATATTATCGAAACTGTATGGCACAAAATGAAGCAGCAGTTAAGAAATGATCCTCAACGAAACATTTCTGATTTACGAGTAAAAATACAAAAAATATGGGATTCTTTCAAGCCAGAACAAATGCTTTCTATTCGTAATTGTCCGAGAGCGGTTCGTGGGACCTTCCCTCTTTGTTAAAGTATCGTAGTTCAGTAGAACAAATGCTGTTATTAAGGCAAAGGGAGACGTAACGAGCTATTGAAATGATTCGTCCGAACATTTATGTGTGTGCTACATATTGCGTTGTTATCAATATTAGTTTAGTTTTATAGTTTAATACGAGGGCCGTTTGATAAGTCAGTGACTTTTTGAATTTCCCGCGCAGTAAATTTGAATGCAACACTGCTGCCGTCAACTGCCATCTTTTATATGACAACTGTCAAAATTTGGACAAGCTATGTCATTTCATTCGAGTTTTACAGCCGTTGAAAGTAGACGGTCTCATAAATTCTAACAAAAATGGAGAAAAGTGAATTTCGTGTTCTAATTAAACATTATTTTTTGCGTAAAAAAACCATCACTGCAACCAAGGAAAGGCTTGACAAATACTATGGGGACTCTGCACCATCTATTTCAATGGTGAAGAAGTGGTTTACCGAGTTCCGTTGTGGTCGAACCAGCACAAGTGATGCCAAACGTTCAGGTCGCCCAAAAGAGGTCATCACACCAGAAATCGTGGATAAGACCCATGGGATGATATTGGAAGATAGGAAGCATGAGGCCTCTACATCACATTTTACATGAATACTTAAAAAAAAAACTATCCGCGAGATGGGTGCCGCGATTTCTCACAGTCGACCATAAGCGCAACCGTGAGACCATTTCAAGGGAATGTTTGGAGATGTTCAGCCGCAATCCGAACGAATTTTTGCGCCGTTCTGTAACTGTAGACGAAACATGGATTCATCACAATACACCAGAAACCAAAGAACAACCAAGACAGTGGGTTTCACATGGTGAGCGTGCTCCAAACAAGGCCAAGATGGGTCTGTCAGCCAGCAATGTTATGGCCACAGTTTTCTAGGACGCATGCGGTATCATTTACATCAGGGCTGTCCAACTTAATGTGGCCCAAGGGCGATTTCAAAAAAATGCAGTTTGGAGGGCCGCGTTATAAAATCTTTCTATACAACATTATTACAGAGTTAATGTAAGAATTGTGCATATTCGGCATTTGAGAATAATTTATACATGTGATGTATACATGATCCGTGAAGCGGGCCCCAAGGAGTTCGCGAGCCGCATGTTGGACAGCCCTGATTTACATCGATTACCTTGAGAAGAGCAGAACGATGACGGGAGAGTACTATTCAGAGCTATTAGACAGATTCAATGTTGCTTTGAAGCAAAAACGACCCAATTTGGCGAAAAAAAATTGCTGTTCCATCAAGACAACGCACGGGTACACACGTGTGTAGTCTCGATGGCAAAAATTCATGAACTGGGCTACGAACTGCTGCCCCATCCAGCCTATTCTCCAGATTTAGCCCCCAGCGACTACTTCCTATTTCCAAACCTGAAAAAATGGCTGGGTGGTAAGAAATTTGGGTCGAATGAAGAGGTCATCATTCAAACAAACGCATATTTTGGAAGCCTTGATAAAGACTACTATTCGGAAGGAATTAAGAAATTGGAAAAACGCTGGGCTAAATGTGTCAAGCTAAAAGGAGATTATGTTGAGAAATAAAATGCTTATTTGCCGAAAAACATTTTTTTTATTTAAAAAGTCACTGACTTATCGAACAGCCCTCGTATCATATTACTTGATAATAATCTTAATAATATGACGTCCAAACAATATATTTTAATGTCTTGTAATCTTAAAAAAGTAAACAAACTTTAAGATACGAAGAACGAACTGTTTTGTGTTAGGGCTCGTGGATGTTATATGCGTAGACTGAAATATAATGTCCAGTTTCGGTGACTGTTAAAAATCCGTTTGAAAAACCTTAAAAACCACTGACGACCATTCACGCTATAGGGGCTTCAACCAGCCGCAATTTAGCATTCTTATTAGGATTCCGTCTTATTCCACTAAAATTTTGTAGGAAAAACCTTAAGATTATGATTATTGATTGATTCCGCATTTAACGCGAGTTTCAATAAGTACCGGATATAAAAATATCAATTTAGTTACAAACTAGAATCCGAACTGGTCGAGTTGGAAGATCGGCGACGGGCAACCGAAGTAGGCGATAAACCGCTGAGTATGCTGCTACTCGGAGGCGGCGATCTGCCCATCATTTTACAACCGTTGAATGGCCTCAAAAATGGATTAGTTTGTCTCCGAGGCATCACCACCTCGGACCTTATACTGCTATTTGACGCATTCAGTCTCGAAAGTCTACGTCGACGCTTATAGTCTAAATCGGCTGAGCCCACGCTGATACAATCCGCCCCGCTGTCGCTTGAACTTGACTCGTACGCTTTGGGGTTATACGACTGCCTTCTGCGGTTTCTATCTCGGATACTACGACCATTGCGTTTTTTCAACGTGTCCTGGTGTTCTCCGAAACTCAAGGTACGCGGTCTGTCATAGGCTAACCTCACTTCAGTAGCAGGAGGGGGCGGAGGTTCATAGTTCTTATCCAGTTCAGTCTTGTAGTATACGTAGGAAGTCTCAAAAAATCGCGGCGGTGCAATCTCCCCGTAGTATTCCCTACCCATATTGTATCGAGGGTCAGCATACGTCTTTCGCGACATACTCTCCGATTTCGTCAGTGTTCTGTCCCGGTATTGTGCGTGCGATGACGGTCTGTAATGTCCATCTTCGAATGACAGATTGTGGAAATGGTTCTCCATGACGTACCGCTGCCTGGTATTGAACGTGTCGTTGCTAAGCGAGCTCAAATTGCGGCACGAGCTGTGCGGGGCAGCGGGAAAAGGGCGGGAAAGCAGTTCGCGGGACTTGGCGAAGTAGAACTCGGCTGAAGCCTTGTCCCATAAAGGGAGTCGCAAGTTTTGGTGGTTAGGGATGTCGTCTAAGGAGGAGGGTGTGCTAACGAATTTCTGTGGATGATGAAAAGAAACGTAAAAAACGGGGTGGAGGAAAGTGTGAGGAACAAAAATCGTGTTAGTATTATATGTGTAATAGTTCATTTGTAGCAATTCAGATAAAAACAAAAGCCATCTATTGCAAGTCATTTAAGGGATTGAATATCTTGATGATTCAAGACATACATCCTCAGAAACCCAAATATTAAGTTGTCTGAAGATCTTATTCGAGATTTGTCCGGAAAATACGTATAAAAAAATCGTGGCGTCGTGTTACGGCGTTGTGGAAGTCCAAGGTAACGGCGAGGCAACCTTCTGGACCAAAGAATTAGAGGACAGAAAACGAGAGGTGCATAAACTTCTTAGCAGAGTTAAGCACAGGAGAAGTTCTCCTCTAGGAAGACTGCAAAAAGGCATTGCAGGAGTGCAAACAGGAGATTAGAAAGGCCTCCAGAGGATCCTGGAGGTACTTCTGTCAGTCCATAAATACATTAAAGCAAGACTGGGATCTCTGCATGATCCCTCGGGGGGTTACAGCAGGGACGGAGTTCGGTTGTTCCTTACCTGTTGAATGTGTTTCGAGCATGTGTGGCCACGGGCTTCACACCTAGAAGCTGGCGGCAGGCTAAAGT